TTTCCATCCACTGATTCACTCCCCAAATGGCTGCAACGATTGGGGCTGGGCCAGGCAGAAGCCAGGAGCCAGGAGCCAGGAGCCAGGAGCCAGGAGCTTCTTCCAGATTTCCCACATGGGTATAGGGGTCTAAGGGCTTGGGCCATCCTCCACTACTTTTCCAGATGCATTAGCTGGGAGTTGGATGGAAGGTGGAGCAGCCAGGAATCAAACTGAGCCCATACGGGATACTGGGGAGGCTTAACCCATTATGGTACAAAACCAGCCCCAAGAGCCAGCTTTAAATCACAGCCTGACTTTGAAGCCCACCCTTGGAACACATTATCCCAGTAATGTAACTGACAACAGTGACTTGCTCAAATGACTGATTAAATCCTCCATCATCTAGGCCATACCACAGGGCTGCTACCACCCAGCTAAAAAAAACAAACTGGCGAAAACAAACTAGAATTTGACAGTGCTGCATTTTGGAACCTGAACTCTACCTGGTAGCCATTAGCATCAACACTCTGTTCCAAACAGAACCATTTACAACACAAACAGGAGTGGCTCGGGGAACTCCTACTCCTGGCACCCCAGGTCGTCTTCTGGGGACATCACTGTGGGCCCTGGCAGGACACTAGATATTACTGGATGGCAAGAGTGGTCATTTCTAGGGACTGTGAAATAACTGTTCCCAAGGGTAAGCAAGGCAAGAGTTGGAGATGGCAACAGGAACAGAATATTATGCACTTGCTGCAGTGGGCAAAAACTGGCTCCTGCAGTAACACCAAGGGAGCATACCCAGTGTCTCACTGTGTCACCTTGTGTTCTTCCAGCTCCACAGACTTCCTTTCCAGACAGGGGTGGTGACCTCTAGGGTAAAGGCTGCTGGTTCTCTTGGATGTTGACTTGTGTTGACTTGCTGCCTACAGCTGAAGTCCCATGATTTACTGCCATTGGGTGGTGTTGGGCAAGACAGGGCAGGCTGAGCATAGCCTTTTTTTTTTCTTTTAAGCCTGTCCTCTTTTGTTTCTGTTATCTGGCACATACTCAAGGACCTATCCCATATAAAGTCTCTTGATGGATATGACTCAGAAAGCTGCCAAGAACTACTGGTGGCCACCAAGAAACCCAAGCTTTAACTATTGCTTCTAAAATACTGGCTTTTGTGTGTGTGTGTGTGTGTGTGTTTGTGGAAGATTTATTTATTTGTTTATTTGAAAGACAGAGTTGCAGAGAGGCAGCCGAGGCAGAGGGAGAGGGAGAGGGAGAGGGGGAGAGGGAGAGGGAGAGGGAGAGGGAGAGGGAGAGAGAGAGAGAGAGAGAGAGGCAGGAGAGGGGATCTTCTATCTGCTGGTTTGTTGCTGTGGATTCGTCCTGAGAGGAGAAGCGCAGTGGGGGCAAGAGGCGTGTAGTCACCACATAGACCCTGGGAGTCGGGTGAAAATGGGCCAGAGGCGAGAAGCCCACAGACTCGTTTATTTCAGTTGGTACAGCAGCTTATACAGCCGAGGCAGCCAATCCAATCAAGGGGCAGTTTATGCCCTAACCAATCACAGCCCATTGCCAGGCAGGCTCCATTGCCAGGTAGGTTTCAAAGCCATTCCTGAGTAACTGACACTTGCTTGCCAGTGGCCATCTTGGCATGGCCTTCTCATTCCACCACATTTCCCCCTTTTCGTTTATTTTTGAGCAACGGGAGGCATGATTCTTGGCCATGCCATTGTTGACCCCGTTTCCATGTGGTCTCCGTACGCAGCTGTGCCTGTCTTAGGTTGTCCCCCAGGGGATCTTACCCGTCATTGACTAACCAGTGCTCAAAACAGGAGACCACAGGAGTGCTTGCTCAGACGAGGGTAGGAATGAGGAACAACGGTAATCAGGAATGGCGTGACCGCATGCAGGCTGTGGGCCGTTCAAGTGGCTGACCAGAGCTAGTGGGGTATAAAACAGTAGCAGATGTGGCTATGGGCAGTTTCTCAGGGTAGGGTGATAAGGCAGGTGCGTCTGATAACAATGCGGCCTCTCAGTCTTGTTCAGCTGGTTCTGGTTGGCTGTCAGTTGCAGGCTTGATGTTTCTGGCTGGTACCCAAATGGGCTGTCCTGCATTCTCTGGGAAGGCACAAGCATATCCTAGGCCCTTGGTTAGCAGAAGCCTTTCCACAGGTGTTGGAATCCAGAGCCTGAATTCTGTGTCCACTTCGAGATTAAAGGCAAACATGTAGGTGGGATGAGGTCTAGTGGCTGCCCTGAGAGCCTGGGGTGCCCAAGGACTGCCACAAATGTGGGGATCCTCACTGGGTGCGGATGGGATGACCTCGCATGGTTATTGCCTCGAGGTCATCTAAGTTCATCCCACGGGTATTTGGGGGGTGGCTGACTAGACATTGCTGCGTTGTCTGCTGTCATGTCATTTTCTTTTTTTTTTTCCACAGGCAGAGTTAGAGAGAAAGGTCTTCCTGTTGTTGGTTCACCCCCAAATGGCTGCTATGGCCGGCGCACTGTGCCGATCTGAAGCCAGGAGCCAGGTGCTTCCTCCTGGTCTCCCATGCGTGTGCAGGGCCCACTGCGTTCCCGGGCCACAGCAGAGAGCTGTACTGGAAGAGGAGCAACCAGTACAGAACTGGCACCCCAACTGGGACTAGAACCCGGGGTGCCGGCACCGCAGGCGGAGGATTAGCCTAGTGAGCAGCGGCGCCAGCCTGTCATATCATTTTCACTGTGAGAGCGCTTTCTCCCCTCACTGGTTCATTCACCAAATGGCTGCAACAGCCAGAGCTGGGTCAGGCTGAAGCCAGCAGTCAGGAGCTTCTCCTGCGTCCTCCACGTGGGTACAGGGGCCCAAGCACTCAAGCCATCCTCTGCTGTTCTCCCAGACTCATTAGCAGGGAGCTGACAGGAAGTGGAACAGCCAGGACTCAAACCAGCGCCCATATGGGATGCTGGCTCTACAGGTGGCGGCTTTACCTCTATACCACAGTGCGAGCCCCTAAAATAACTTCTTTGACGCACATACGCTGACATCTCCTTTTCTGATTCGGCTGACGCTTACTTTTTACACACTACTATTTCAGTCATGTCTTGGTCTCTCCAGGCAAATCCTGAGCTCCTTGAGGTCAGGAACTAAATCACTGAATTCTAGCATCATGACTGAGAGTAACTCGAGATACGGGTACACAAAAATCAAATCAATGACTATGTGACCCCCTACGAGAGCAGCTGTAAGACTCACCAGGAACTCTGGTGAACTCGGACCGGTATGTCTGGGAAAGCGGCCCAGGAACGTGCATTTGAAACAAGGCCTTGAGTAACTGTCCGTGCACAGCATTTACATGCCTAAACATGACTCAGACAAGGCATGCCTCAAGGAGCAAAATAGTGTGCATGACATTTCTGATCCTCTTCCTGCTGACTCCTCCCCTCTCCATGGCCTGAATAATCCTCTTAAAGCAAAACTGATCAAGCCTCCTCTTCGCGCAAAACCTTCCGTTACTACTGGAACATAAAACCCATAATTGTAATCTTTATGGCCGGTCAGCAAGCAGCGTAACTTTTTAACTCAGAGCACAATCTCGCCTTGAGAATTAAAGGCATGAATATATAAACACACTCAGGTTACTTAGCCCCTGCTCACACCCCGCACTGCAGTCCCACCTGTTAATTCCTGCTCCTAGGGCATTCCCCCACAGTGCTACACCATTCCCTCCACCTGTAACACAGCTCCACCCCACCTCTGGGACAAAAGCATCCGACAGCAGGGACCCAAATCCAGCCTTTAATCACTAACTTCTTGGGACCCAAACGAACGTTTCCTATCTGTGCGTTGATGTAAGCTTTCCTTGTGCGTGTTGCTCACCTCCTGGCCGGCAGGCACCCTGAAAGGCTGGTGGAGCTGAAACACTGAGGTGTCGGGGTGAGACTGAGCGGGGCTCCAAACACGGTCTCCACTGTATTCTCCCTGAGCCCATTTATCAGTCTAGGAAAATATATCAACTTTGACAGGCCAAAGATCAGATGACAAACTCCGCCCACAGATACCCCAACCAAGCGTGCTGTACGGCTGATGGTGAATTATTAACAGTGGCATTTGCTGAGCGCAGGCTATGCAGTTAATGCCAATGCAAAATGTTGGGGCACCCCCCCCCCAAAAAAAATCCCCCGGAGAAGTCCAGTTTTTCTACCAAGTGTATGAAGATACCCAGGGACACGCAGAGCACGACGGTCCAGACACAGCCAGGCTGGCTGCCCGCTGACACGCAGGGCCTGTGCAGGCTCCGGGGTGCCTGACCAGCCACAGAGCTAAGCTCCTGCTCACTGGCCTTTCAGGCGTGACGTCAAGACCACCCAAAGAACTGACCAATAGGCTTGGGTGGGGAGGGCCCAGCGGCGACAGTTAAGGGCAAGGCAGCTTCTGGGTTCTTAGTTTCTCATCTCCAAGGCGGGGGCATTGCCTCCTGCCCCCCCCTCCCAGGACCCCCAGTTAGACACAACCTGAATTCTCATCTGCTCACCCCTTCCTCCTTTTTGGAAAAAACAAAAACAAAAACTTTTTTGCACAAGTTCAGGTTTCCGAGTCGTGAGGCTTGGCAAAGCCGGGTTCCAGCGACTCTGGGGTTTGGTCTTCCCCTTCCTGCGTTACCCTATTTTATAACGCGGGAGCGGTCACCCCACACTCGGGCAGGACTGGGCCTCGCAAACTGGGCCGTAAGCTCAGCCTGGCGCCTGCCAGGAGCCCGACGGGTCCGGGCGGGGCTGGGGCAAGCTCTGCCGGCAGGCGGGCACCCCCACAGCCGCCGCGCCCGCTCTCCCGCCCTGGGGCAAGCGGCTGCGGCTGCGGCTCCGACCCCGACCCCGGAGGGAACGCAAGCAGGGTCCAGTCACACCCACTGTGCCCACGCAGGGTTCTTCGGAAGGGGCGAGGAGAGGCGGCCAAGCAGGGGTCCCCACATCGCGGCCAGCACCAAGCATGCTCAGGACGACCCGGGCCCGGGCGAGACGGGGCTCGCGCGCCAACCTACCCCGACCGCGTCGAAGAGGTTCCCGCTCCGTCGTCCACACCACGCCCCAAGATCAAGCCCGGGCCGCTCGCTCCGCCGTCCCCAGCCGCGCCGCTTACCGCTCACTCTTCCAGCGACAGACCTCCGCCCGGACCCCCAGCGGAAGCACAGCGGAGGTAGCGGATTCACTTCCGGAAGTAACCTCAAACAAACGGCCGAGGAGACGGCCCCCGGCCCGCGACCATAGAGGAGAGGCCGCGCTGGTTTGCCAGCCCCCTCGACCCTGCGACCTCCCGGCTGCCTAGAGCGGCCAGCCCCGGCGGGCAGGGCGCATGCGTGCCTTCGGGCCCCGCCCCTTCCCTTCGCGTGCCGGCTCGGGGCGGGGCCTCGGAGCCGCAGCCTGAGGGCCGGGATTGTCTCGCTATTGTCGGGCGGCTCCTTCTGTATCCAGAGGAAACGGTTTTGTCCAGAAACTTAAAAATTACAGATTTACACTGTACACCTCACGTTACAAGCCGCAGTATTAAGATCAGAGTTAAATGGTTTGATCACCATGGTTTCCCCCTTACCTCCAGCATCCGGGTCCTTTGGGAGCTCAGGCTGATTCCCGTTCTTTTTCTAATACATGTTTATTTTTTATGCCTTTTGATAAACATTTTTAAATAAATTACTCAAAAATTGTGTGCACACATTTTCATCATCATTTATGGCAGAAAAACAGCGTCTGTATTTGCGCGAGCTTCCATTTGCTTTCCATGATCACCTAACACACTCCCTTGTTTTCTCTTGCACTATTTGCTTATTGTTTGTTTATTTTGCTAAGTGCTTCTAAGGGGCACATTTAATTCCTGACTTTCCCCTTTTCTGCCCCACGTTTAAGCTCCAGAGGGGGCAGGGCCTGTGCTTTCCGGGTCATCACTGTATCCTCACCCGCACCAGGAACCAGGCAAAAACCTCGCTTTCTTCCAACGCAAAGGCCACGCCCCGGGGACGCCCCTAGCCACGCCCCCTCTCCGGTCCCTGGGAGGAGCGCGGGAGCGCAGCCTGGGCCCCGCCCCCGCCGCTGACGCCAGCGCTGACGCAGGCGCAGCCGGCGCGCGCTGTTTCCGGAAGTCGCGGCCGTGTGGGCTCCGCTGCTGCTGCCGCTGGGGACGCCGCCGCATTCGCCGCGGAACTCTGCGAGTGGAACGGCTGAGGCGGGCCCGGGCGAGGCCGGGGTTCCGGCCGCTCTGCGAGAATGGAGATAATCCGGAGCAGTGCGTGTCCGCCGTGCACTTCCCCGCGGGCCCCCGCGACCCCCTCTCAGCCTCCCAGGCCCAGACCGCAGCCAGCTGGTTTGGCGGGGCCTTGGGCTGAGTCAGCCCCCCTGAGGGCTGTGCCCTCGCTTAACCCCGAGTGCCTCCTGGGGCCTCGTCCTGGGGCGGGCCGTGCAGCCCTAGGGGGCCTTGTGCCCTCCGGGGCCGGCCCCGACCCCGGGCCTTCGCCCTCCCCGACCAGGGCGCCCCGAGCGGCTCAGGCACCCCTGGGGGAACACCCATCCCGGCCCGCCCAGGGCCCTGCGGCCTCGGGAGCCCCTAGCGTGTCCCCTTAGGAGCCCTGAAGCCGGACCGCCGGTTCTGAGCCTCTTCTCGGTCTCTCCGCAGATTTTAAGAGTAATCTTCACAAAGTGTACCAGGCCATCGAGGAGGCGGACTTCTTCGCCATCGATGGGGAGTTTTCAGGTATCCCTGCCTTGCCGTGCCTAGCGGGGGCCTCTTCCGCCTCCCGCCTCCAAACCCCCAGCTTCTCCTGCCTGCGTAGCCTTGAGCCGAGCATCCGAGTGTTAACGTTTGCAGAGCGAGGAAGGGGTGCAGCAGCTTTGTCATTGGCCAGTCTCTGAGGGGTTCAGCCGGAAACGGAGGCTTTGGGGGTGCTTGAGACAGTTTGACATGGACGTGGTGCAAAGCTTGAGGGTTAAGGTCAGGCTTTCTGTCCCCTTTTGTGGCGAAATTGACATAACACAAAATGTGCCATTTGGACTGTCTGGTTTCCAGTACAGTGGCTTCAGGTGCCTTCCCACCGCTGCAGCCATGTTCCCCGACTGAAACTGCACATTGAATCCATTCTTCCCTGCCCCGAACCTCTGGCAGCATGTCGGCATTTTAGATACCTCATTCGTGGAAGTGGCATCGTAAAGTGTCTTTTTGTCGCTAGATAGGGCCAGCCTTTTGTAGGGACATGCGGGTATTGCTTTGTGCATTCGTGGAAAGAGTCACTGCCTACCTCAGCAGGTGTCTGTGTGTGTGTGTGTCTACCAGTGCTTACAGTTTTTTTTTTTTTCATTGTTGTGGTGTGCAAGGACTAATATTTTTTTGAAAGATTTATTTATTTATTGGGAAGGTAGGGTTAGAGAGATTGATCTTCCATCCACTGTTTCACTTCCCAGATGGCTGCTACAGCTGGGACTGGGCCAGGACCAAAGCCACGAGCTGCATCCGGGTCTCTCACATGGGTTCAGGGGCCCAGGCATTTGAGCCATTTTCTACTGCTTTCCCAGATGCATTAGCAGGAAGCTGGATCAGAAGTGGAGCAGCTGTGGCTTGGAGGGGAAAGCCACCACGTGCAGTGCTGGCATCCCATAAGAGTGTGACTTTGAGTCTCTGCTAAACTTCCGATCCAGCTCCCTGCTAATGTGCCTGGGGAAGCAGTGAACGTGGTCCAAGTCCTTGGGCCCCTGCATCATATGGGAGACAAGGAAGAAGCTCCTGGATTTGGACTGGCCTACCTCTGGCCATTGCGGCCATTTAGGGAGTGAACCAGCAGATGGAACGTCTCTCATTGTCTCTTCCGCTCTCTCTGTAACTCTGCATTTCAAATAAATACATAAATCTTAAAAAAAAGAAAGTAGAGTAACCAGGATTCGAACCAGCAGCCATGTGGAATGCTGATGTCACAGATGGTGCCTTAACCAACTAGGCTACAGTGTTGGTCCTGAAGCTAATTTTTTTTTTTAATTTAATTTTATTTATTTGGAAGAGTTACAGAGAGAGGTAGAGAAAGAGGTCTTCCATCTACTGGTTCGCTCCCCAAATGGCCACAGCAGCCAGAGCTGAGCTGATCCGAAGTCAGGGCCAGGAGCTTCCTCCAGGTCTCCCACGTGGGTGTAGGGGCCCATCTTCTACTGCTTTCCCAGGCCATAGCAGAGAGCTGGATCAGAAGAGGAGCAGCCGCTACTAGAACCAGCTCCCATATGGGATGCCGGCGCCTCAGTCCAGGGCTTTAACCCACTGCTGCACAATGCTGGCCCCAAGACCAATTTTTGAATTGTGAATGTCAGATGCCTTTAGTTATCTGATTTTACATGTTTAGAAAAATATACTTCTTTATAAATCTATGCTGGAGTCAATTTGATCCTTGGTTTTAAGTATTCACTTTTTAGCTAGAGTCAGTTCCTTGGGAAGCTAAGAGTTTTCACCAGAGTTAATATTCTCTTGACCTTAAAAATGACTTTGTACAGATGTCACTGCAAACTGTTGACCCAGACTGGTACTCTAATAGTAATACACTAAAGGATTTGTTAATGTCTGACTTTGCATTAGTCCTTTAGAAAGTAGCAATTCTTACTCAAGCACAAAGGTTATTTTCTTAAGTGGTATCCTGGTTGTGAAACCCGTGTTAGCATTTGAACTGCCCATTCTCAAGTCAAAACAAGTTTATTGTCACAGATTGAGTATCCCTTATCTGAAATGCTTGGAACCAAAAGTGTTTCAGATTTTGGTTTTGTACTGTTTGCATATAAATGATGAGGTATCTTGTGATGGGACTCAAGTCTGTTCAAGTCCTTTGTTTGCTGTCTGCGTCACACACACAGCCTGAGAACAGCTGTGTATACTAACGTTAATGTGCCTGAGTTTTCAGTGCGTGAGATCACATGTTGTTTTCCATTTTTTAAAAAAAAGGATTTATTTATTTGAAATATGGGGTGACAGACAAAGGGAGAGATGGGGGAAAGAGGTCTTCATAACACGGGTTTACTCCCTAAATGACAGTGATGGTGTGAGTGGGCTGGGCCAAAGGCAGGAGCCCAGAACTCCATGAGATCCATCCGGGTTTCCCATTGGGGCCCATGTACTGCTGCTTTCCCAGGAGCGCTAGCAGGGAGCTGGATCAGAAGCAGAGCCGCTAGGACCGGAACTGGCGTTCGTATGGATTCCTTAACCTGCTGTACTACAGTGCTGGCCGTTTTCCACTTTTGCTGTCATGTTGACACTCAGAAAGTTTTAGGTTTTGGAGCATTTCAGATGTTCAAAATGAGGATTTTCAACCTTTATAGAATTCAGCCTTATAGCTAGTAAAAATAATGCTGATTTTGAGAACATCTGGTAGGGAACACTTCTAATTAACCTTTTTTTCCTTGTTTTTAAATAGAAACACTGCTGTTCCTCAAGAGTATAGACGGGCTGTAAGCAACAATCAAATCTCAAAATGCCAATTTGAATTGTATACATTACATTTTATTTGTACTCTATACATTAGCATAAATCAGGGAAAACATGGTATTTGTCTTTTGGGGACTGGCTTATTTCACTAATCATAATAGTGTCCAGTTTCATCCAATTTGTTGCAAAAGACAGGATATCATCCTTTTTATGGCTGAGTATATTCCATTATGTATATACAGTTTCTTTATCCAATCATCAGTGGATGGACATCTGAATTGATTCCACATCTTAGCTATCGTGAGTTGAGCCGTTATAAACATGGGGGGTACAGTACCCAATTCATCTTATTTTATTTTTTATTTATTTATTTTTTTGACAGGCAGAGTGGACAGTGAGAGAGAAGAAAGGTCTTCCTTTTGCCGTTGGTTCACCTTCCAATGGCCACCGCGGCCGACTGCGGCCGGCGCACCGCGCTGATCCGATGACAGGAGCCAGGTACTTCTCCTGGTCTCCCATGGGGTGCAGGGCCCAAGCACTTGGGCCATCCTCCACTGCACTCCCAGGCCACAGCAGAGAGCTGGCCTGGAAGAGGGGCAACCAGGACAGAATCCGGTGCCCCAACCGGGATTAGAACCCGGTGTGCCGGCGCCACAAGGCGGAGGATTAGCCATTTGAGCCATGGTGCTGGCCAGTACCCAATTCATCTTAATTCATAAAAACATGAAATTAAAGTGGCATTTAAAAGTGTG